CCAGGAGACAGAACTCCGCATGACCGAGAACCCAAAATCCTGTATGAACATTATTCTTTCTAGTCCATCAGCGGAAATCCAGTAAATTATACTGTGGGTCATGACCAAGAGAATATCTTGTGTTGCGGTTTAGAAATGTTATAAATCAGAAGTGATATATCATGCAACAGCTTCCCCTCAAGTGATAGCACTAGTTAGACAAAACAGCTTGAACCTTCACTGTGACACTGACGCATGTCCAGGAGCACGAAGGTCGCTTTTCCTGCGAAATCAACTCCAAGAAACAAGAGTTCTTTTAGAGAAGTTCATGTCCTCTCACATGGCCAATAAATTATGAAATCCCAAAGTCCAGTACTGTGTTCAGAAGATTCCGTCACGTGGCTGTGCATGGCTCAGGAAGTTAGTCGCCAGCTTCTCACCGCGGACTCCGAGGCTCGATCCCCGGCCAGGTCATGCGGGATTTGTAGTGGATAATGTGGCACTATGGCAGGTTTTTCTCATAATACTACGGTTTCCCTCACCAATTCACATTCCATTAACTGTTACGTATTCATTAACCACCGAATCTATTGTGTATTCACAACCCTGAAAGAGGCGTCGAATAACTTAACTCCAGAAGAGAGTCCGTTACTAATCATATGATGAGACAGAAAAAAACAGTCTATTTTAAATTTTTTTTAATATTATCGTTTCATCTACGGTCGTGTCTTCCAAATGGTCTCTTCCCTTCAAAGTTTCCGACTAGATTTACATATGTATTCTCATTTCCATGCGTGCTACTAGTACATACCACCTACGACCACACCCTCCTTGGTATGCTCAACGTATTAATACGTGGTGAAGAGTAGACATTACTAACCTATCCTTTTCACTTTCCTTCTTCACTCTGCTATTAACCTGTTTCATAGGTCTAAATGTTTCCTTCAGAAGCCTGTCCTCAATGTTCTTCATTTGCAGAGAGATCAGATTTCACAACCATGCAAACAGCAGGCAAATTCGTGCTTATTCGGCGGCCCATTGTCCAATTGTAAAGTAAAGAAGTGCCAAGGAACGATAGAAAATAAACACAAGCAAGTAACAGACAAAACAAGGCAACTTCTATCATTTAGTATAGACAATATCAAAAATTCAGTAGGACAATCACGGTAAACATTATGAGCTCTCAAAATTAAAAATAAATATATATGTTCATCGGTGGCACGCGGTAGCGTAGTTTGTACCGGTACTATGCTACAATCCGGCACGTCGTGGGTTCGATTCCCGATGAGATCATAGGATATTTCCAATTGACCTAGTCCTTCCAGTCGCACTATAGCCCTGGGGTCGACTCAACCTCTAACAGAAATGAGTACCAGGAATCTTCCTAGGGGGTAAAGTCCTGCTGGCACGTAAAGATGACAACCTCACTGCCATCTATGAGCCGATTGTCTAGAGAATGTGGGAGCCTCGACGCCTCACAAACCTATGGGCCTTCACGGCCTGTTACAAGGATAGCTTTACCTTTTTTACCATATGTTCATCTTGAATAAAACAAATATTTTAATAATCGAGTATCATTTTAATATAATAATAATTACAATAGTAATAATAATTATTTTTTGTACTTAATATTGTGACGCAACAACCGTAAACCCAATTACAGAAACGGAACAGTGTAGTTACAATACTACAATTTCATTGTAGGGTTTAGTATAACTAAAGAACACAATAGAACAAATCATAAACCAACAAAAACGTAGGGTGTAGTGGTAGTAGTTGTAGCATTATTATTATTATTATTATTATCATTATCATCATCATCATCATTTTTAACAAATCTAACAAACTGACAATCTCGTGTGCTTTTCTCTGTTATAATTTTCACGTCTTTTGTCGTGCAGTCAGACGTACCTCAAGGCACAGTTATAGGGATTTCGCTTTTTAATATTTTTATAAATGATTTGTGTAGCATAATTAATCACCCAAACTGTCTTATTTTTGCTGACGACCTTAAAACCTATTGACCTGTTAGTTCGCCTAGCGAATGTTTTCTTCTACAGTCAGATATTGATTGTTTACATAATTGGTGTTCGGCGAATTTTACGAAGCCTAATTTCAGTAAAATTAGTGTCATATCTTTTACCAGGAAGACGAAAGATCTGTACAGAACTATTAGACTTATTTTGGACTCTATCCATCGTCTGGTATATACGTGGGTAAGACAGAAAACCACAACGTTTTGGTTTTTTTGTCTTATTGTACCAGACGATGGATAGAGTCCAAAATAAGCCTAATAGTTCTGTACAGCATACACCATCGACAGAATCTTTTCAAGGTTACGAAGGTTCTGGATTATCAGTACAGACTTGGGAATTATTTTATCCTGCGAAAAGATTATATTGAGGATTTGGGTGTGCATATTTACTCTAAATTCCATTTTCATCATTATCTCGATTTTCTTTTTTCACGCGCACCGAAGTTACTGGGGCTAATTCGCACAATAAAATTTTCTGTTCACACCTCAGACCGTCTACTGATGCTATATTTTGCTTTGGCCAGATCTAAACCGGAATATTGTCCTGTTGCTTGGAACTCTGTTACGATTACTGACTCCAATAAATTTGAGCGCATACAAACAAAATTTGCAGACCTTTGCCACAATAAACTTTTTCAAGGCATGCAATATCACTACGATAATTTATTGGAAAGATTAAATTTTCTGATACTTCATAACAGGCCGATCACAGTGGCCTCGCGTTCTATGGCATCAACTGTCTTCGCACTGAGGTCGTGGGTTCGAATCCCTCTTAAGGCATGGATGTCTGAATTGTGTGCCTTTATTCTGTGTTCATGTTGCTCTGTGTGTAGGTAGCGGCCTCTCGACGGGCTGATTCCCCGTTCAAGGGATCCTACCGACTGTGTAAAGGATCAAGAAACTGAAAAAGCAGCCGAGGTCTAATAAAGGGCTGTAGAGCAATAATAATTCAATTCAATTCGTATTTATTTACGTGCAAATTTAACAGCACAGAGGCCAATTACAAAGCTAGCACGAATAGAGAGAAATACACAAAAATAATAAAAAACAAAATACAAAATATGATAGTCTATATTAATTATAAAGTAAGCATGAATAAAGATAAGAAAAACAAACACACACAGACAAAGCCACAATGTGACAATCTGAGTTTCAAATAGAGCAGCATACAATAATAATAATAACGAAATTAATAAAAATAATGATAATAATAGTTTAATTAATTCAGTGTAAGATATGTTTCACCAACAGAATTTTTGGTCCAAAGACGTCAACATCCCTACAGACAACATTAGCAGCAGAAGCGCATCTAGCAGAGGGGCAATTTTTACTAACAGAACAGACATTGAACATATGAAAGTCTCGGATATATAGAACAGGGACCCGAAGGCCAACAATTTCCAAAGCAGAAGGGCAAAGTACAGAACCGCGATAAGCTTGAAAAAGGAAGAGCGAATCAAGGTGATATCTCCTCTTTTGCAAGGTGTGCAATTTCAATTGTTCTAAAGCAAAATCGTAACAGTAATCTACTTGAGGAAAAAAACGTTTAAAACACAGAGCCGTAAATTTCTGCTGAATGAGTTCTAGTTTGCTTGCATAATTTGACGTAATGGAATTCCAAACTACTGAAGCGTATTCAACCTTGGATCAACGGAAGCCGGGATCGTGGGTTCGAATCCCACTCAGGGCATGGATGTTGGTGTGCGTTTTTCTGTTTTTGTGTACAGGTAGAGGCCTTGCGACGAGCTGATCACCCGCCCAAGGAGTCCTACCGTATGTCTAAGATTTATAAAAACCGAAATGAACAGAGAAGTTCATGGAGGCAGGCCTAGGCCCACTGGGGCTGTAGTGCCAAGAAAAAAATCATAACAGGCGTCGTCATTTTGGTCTGTGGTTCTTAATAAATTTCTTCAGTTGCGCAAAATGTTCTCTCCTGTCCTCGGAACAGTCGGCCCTCGGGTTCCCGCTCGAAGCGTTCGTAACTTCAACACGTTCATTGGCTCTTCGAGCCACTGCGCTTGAGCTATATGATTTTCAACAGTAAATGCATTTTTTAAACTTACACATATATTTATTATTTCATGTTTGATTGTTAAAAGCCTAATCTGATCCATTTTCTTTTATTTTTTTGTTTCTTTTTGTTTATTTTGTCCTGTGCTGTCATATTACATTACGTTACATTACATTGCATTCCATGAATCCAAATTTAGTCAAAATGACTATAGGATGTGGAATATGTCATATAAATACAAAACATATGTACAGTACCGATGGAGTTCTCACACAAGAGAAACCAAGAATACACAGTGACTACACACAAGGCTATTTAAAGATACATAAGTTATTTTCGAGGCAATAGGTATTCATCAACAGAGTAGAATGGGTGTAATTACTGTCGTATTCGTACTGACTCTGTAATTGGTCATTGGCTGTTGAGCTCAGGCCGTAAATCAATAAATAATTTTATTATTATTATTATTTTGTTTTTTTAATTACTTTGTGTATTTCTCTATTCGTGCTAGCTTTGTAATTGGCCTCTGTGCTGTTAAGTTTGCATGTAAATAAACATGAATTGAATTACATTAAGCAGCCATAAGATTTTTAAGAGAAGCATAACAAATCTTGTTTCACATCACAATAAAGCTTAATANAGTAATAATTTCTCCATGTGCTTTTCATATAAATCATGAACCCCTATCCAGACAAAAGTGTGTTTTCGTTTTGTGTGCGTGCAGAGACCTCGCGATCAACCGATCCCAAACCCAGGCAGTCCCATGTTGATCGGAAACAAGCCTAGGATGACCTATGCACGCAGTGAAGAAGGAGAAGAAGAAGAAGAAGAAGGAACGAAGTTACAATAGATGGCAGAACCGGTGGGCCCGAAAACCTAGCCTATAAATCATAACATGTTGCAATACAATTATAACGGGTTACAACATGGTCACAATGCGCAGGAGGAAAAGTGTGCTTGTGACGTAGATCATGATCGTCAAGGTCTAAGAAGTGCCGACCATTTTGCGTTAAGTCCTGGAGTTCATCCGGAACAACTGATAGTGTTCCGACATCAACACAGTGTTTACAAACTGCCTGCCTGCACTTAGCTTCGCAGAAGTTTCTTTCTGAAAGGCTGTTACTGATCACGATGAAAGCCTCATGGATTTTACTCTTCCTGGGTGAGTAAGCTCCACGCTGTGTCGGACAGTAACGTCGAAGTATGTGTATTACAGTTAACATGCATAGTCACGTTTCTGTTTAATAATAATAATAATAATTAACATCGAGGCTGGAGAAAACACTATAACAAGGAGCTTCATAACTGGTTATTTTCGCGAAATATAATTAGAATGAACAAGTCAAGGAAGATGAAGTGGGCAGGGTATATGGCACGAATGGGAGAGAAGGTAGAATACGTACGGGACTTAGGTTGAATTCAGAAGGAAAATGACCATTAGGAAGACTGAATTCAGATGGAAAATGACCATTAGGAAGACCTAGACGTAGTTAGGTGGCTAATATTTGAATGGATCATAGAGAAATAGGATGGGGTGGTATGAACTGGATTGATCTGGCGCAGGATAGGGACCAGTGGTGGGCTCTTCTGAGCACGGTAATGAACCTTCGGGTTCCATAAAATGTTT